ATATTTTTATAATTATTTGTCAACTTAAATTAATAAAATGAAGTATCAAATAATTTTCAAAATTTAAAATTTTTTGCAAACTTAATCTATATATTAAGAACTTTAAATTCAACCCTTGGATAAAAAATCTTTGATATAAGATATAAATTATTGAACAAAATAAATTTAGATAGATTTACTCATAAAGAAAATAGATCTCTTCTAAATAAGATGTTGTTATGATATAATAAATTCTTAATATTAGATACTTGTGTAAAAGAAAAAGCACCAATAAAATATATAAATTAAAATATAAAAAAAAAGTATTTGCAAGCATAATAAAATGATGGATAAATTTTATCCATTTTACACTCAAGCTTTAAGAAACACATAATTAAGGGAGGAATCGACATATCTTTGACTGGATTGCTAGTTTGATCCGTACATTTCCCTTTTAATTAAGTTATCGATTGGTGATATTTTAACTCCAACACTGACATTCTTTTGATATATAAACTGTTTTAGTTTTATATTTAAATTTAATTTATATATATTTGTAGTGTATAAAATATTTATACAAATCGTACAATTTTATAACATTGTTCTATTCGTTAATATGATGCGATAATAAGGTGAATTTATATTGAATATTAGTATGAAAATATTATACGTTGATCATGCACATAAATTGAATTATTTTTCATAATACTATCACATTTTATATCATGTTTTATTCAATAACGTAACTATGTTAAATTGTTAATAACTATTTGAGACATTAAATTCATTAAATAATTTAATTATATATATTATTACATGTGAGTGTAATTTTTTTATCCAAAAGTGTTTAACCACAGTAAAAATAAACACGATCAAAGATAGATAACAAAATTGCACTAAAACTACATTGACATGAGTTTTTATGAACATAAAAAATACCACAAAATAGAATGTGACAAATATGTAATAATGTAATAAATGTTGTGAGAGTATCATTGGTGGTTTAACGCGAACCAAAGTAATCTACATTCATCATTGTTGTGTTGTTCATCCCAAACTCAGTAGTAGCATTTAATATGCAACTAGGAATTTTCCACTTTTCAATTCCCAAAGCCATGGTCGATTGGTATTTGATTGTTTCACAATCTTTGTCTTCACCTTACTCCACTTGTTTAAACCAAAGATTAGTAAAGAAATTAAAAAAAAAACAAAACATTCTATATTAACTTAGTATAGTACACAAGGAATATTCAGCTTTCCCAATGCGACAAAAATACCCTTGGAGTTGGGTTTATAAACTATGGGGCAGTTCAATAATTATGATTTTGTTACATAAATTAATCACTTCGAGGTTAGTGAACTACTTGTATTTTTTTTCTTTAAAAAATTGGAGTTACTATTAAACTACCACTATAGTAACAGGAGTATCTGTTGTGATTTGCACGCAACGGAGTGTGCGTACTTAACTTTTAACGGGACAAGCAAATAGTACTATCTATCTTCACCACGTGTATTTATTTATATAAATATAAACGAATGTAGCATAAAAAAAATGAAAATAAAAAGATTTGTTTGGGGTACAACACTGCAACTGAAAGTGAGAGTATTTTTTTTTAAAAAAAAACTTATATTATTTGAATGTCATATTTTAAAAATATTATTAATTTTTTTTAATTTAATAATTAAATCATTAAAATTTAACATGAACGATTTTTATACAAATATTTTCTTTAGATTATTGTAGGAAAAAAATATTTTTTTCTTCTTTCTTTTTATTTGATATTTTCAAAATGATCGAAAGTTATTTTAATAAATTTTTTTTAAAAATGTTATATTTGTTATTATTTTAATATGAATTAAAAAAATTTAAGTTATCAATGCTAACAAGTCATTCAAAAACATTATAAGTAGTAGATATCTAAATGAAACAATAAATAAATACCAACATATCAAAAGTTATCAACACTATCGTAGGCAAAAGTGAAATTGATACATGAATTTAAAAGTTATTTTTACGAGTTGGTAATAGAAAAACATTAACATTACAAGAAGAAGAAAATGTTAAACTAATATTTTTAGACAATGAGTGATTTACTCTTTTTCGTAAAATAATTGATACTAAATTACTCTTTTAATTCTTCTATAATGTGTAATCCATAATTTTAATTCTTAAATTTTTAATTCACAATCTTACTCTTTAATTTTATAAAATTTATAATTTTGATTATATTGTGGAATATTCATCTATTAATTATTAAAATTGTAATATTAAACATGATTTCACTTGTTATTAATGACAATTATTTAATGACAATAATTTAATTGTCGCTATATATAAAAATATTAATGACTAATATATAATAACCACTAAAAATGTATTTATATTACACTAAAGTTTACTATTAACGATAATTATTTATTAGAAAAAATTTAAGTCCCACATCGATTAGAGATAAGATAATTAAATAATATATAAGTGAGTAATTACTATCACCTTACAGGTTCATTTTACAGGGTAGACTCCTAATTCACATCTCTTAAGAGACAAGACAATTAAACAAATAAATTAAAAAATATATAAATAAAAAATAACTCTCATCTTACAAATCCCACATCGAGTAGAGATAAAAAAAAATATAAGTTATGGATTTAGAAAAGGAAATTATAGGAATAAATTATTTAAAGTAAAAGAGACAATTGAAAAAAATAACTTTTAATAGCCTTTAAAATGGCTACTAGAATTGCCACTAAAAAAATAAATTTTTTCGATAATTTAATAGATCTTTACCAGTATTTTATATAAATGTCTGTAATAGTATTAGCGACACTGGATACGCCAGCCATTATTTAAATGCTGGTAAAAAAAATAATGACTATTTATATAGTCGCTAAATAATAAATTAATTATCACAAAAAATTAATTTTGATATAGTATTTAATATAAAATAGATGATAAATAATTAATATTTAATAATATTTAGTTTAAACTGAATATTTAATTTATATTTTCTCTCTTTATTATTAGCATCTCATTTTACTATTTTTATAAGATAAAAACGTGAACTCAAAATAAAATTTAGTTAAAATATTATTACATATAATTATTATATGATTTACTTAATGCTAGATAATTATTAACACTATAACTTTAACATTAATAGATAAACATTTAGAAAAAGACTAAAATTATAAATTTTATAAAATTAAAAGATGAAAAACTTACCAAATCCAAATTGAATGATCAAAAGTGCAAAATGAGTAAAGGAAAGACGTGCTTGGAGCGAAAAAGCTATCTAACTACGGTGTAAAGCTCCTCTAAAATTACATATTTAAAAATTAAATAACTAAAATTATAAATTAAACATTATAAGAGATTAAAGTATAATTTAGTGTATAATTAAATTTATTTTCGTTGATAATTGATACAACATAAAAATTTTATAAAGAAAAAAATTCATTTATTTTAAAAGTACTTATAGACTTATTCGATTAAATAATTCATGTTTGTTTTATATTAAAATAAAAAATAAAAGAAAAATGTTGAAAAAAATAAGGGCAAAGCATGAGGCGAGTGTCGCGGCGAGCACACTGTACAGATTCCAACCCCACACTATCCAACAAACACAATCACCACACTCTTTCTTCCACTCCCGGCGTATTTTAGCCCTCACCATCTTTCCTTACTTTATTTTATTAATTTCAGAAACATGTTAATAACTTTTATTCTTTTCATGCATTTTCTTTGACGGTAATTATATTCATGACATAATCAAATACTAATGATGTAAAAAAATACATGTAATGGTATATTTTTTATTTTCTTTGAGAAAAAGTATAAAATTACCAAATTTTGACTTAAAAATTAAAATTTGATTTTCTGTTACTTTTTTTAGTTATATTTTAAACTTTACTGCTCCACCATTATTTCCTCGTTCAAAAAAAAAAACTTAATATTTATACTTTATAAAAGACTAAACCATTGCTACTAGAGCTAGACCTGTTGATAGTAACATGTTAATATTGACGTTATATTTCTTTGTTTTGTCGTATTACCAACAAGAAAGAAGAAAAGTTGATGGATGAAAATTACTGTACCCCATCGTTTCATCCTCTTGATGTGATACGTACCATGTAACTGCCATCTGAATTCTGATTATGCATGGATATATGTTCGAAATTATATAAAATAAAAAAAATAAGAGAAGCTGATGGAGATGCATTTTTTGTAATTAATTAATCATGGGTGTGATGTTTTTAAACTGAAATGGGATATAAAATAATTAAAATATATTTATTGTTAATTTCAATTAGAGTATATAAAAAAATTTCAAACATTTTTATGTTTTTTTGACTTTAGAAAAACCAATCAGTATGTATGTTGCGTACAATTGTCGCTTCGGTGGCATTGAATAAACTAATTTAAATGTATGCTTCTCATAATGAAAAGACTAGCTCATGACAAAACTTGAAAATGCAAGCAGTGATGTGGAATTTCCAAATTTGTTTATGCGTATAAATCCAAGGAAAATCAACCAATTAAACAAAGGAAATAATTAAAAAGGAAGTGGTGATACGAAATTGCTTGATTACGAGTACGTTGACAGTTATTTTTCTGGTTACAAGGCTAATTTGTAATAGCAAGTTTAAAATATGATAATTAACATAATTTTTGTTTATAAATTTAAAAATGTGGCGCAGTTTAGCAGGATGGAGCATGAGTTGCAGATTGCAGAATGCAGAATGTGATTTGTTTGATTGGTTGATATTTGTTTTTCCCAAATTCTGAAAAAGTTACATTTTCAAGCCAAAAGCAAACAAGGGAGGAGACAATCCAACCACGTGACCTGTCCAAAAAAACTTACCTTCCTGCAACCATATTTTCTTTTTCATCCCATTCCCATTATTCTCTCTCTCATCACTGCAATCTCATTTCTTCAAAAATAAAAAATAAAAATATACCAAGCTTTTTTCTATTATTATAATTCTAATTTGAGTTCATTTATTATTTACTTTTATTCCTCAAAGAAGTTTTTGGTCACTGGTTATGCTTGTGCATCTACATTTGTGTCCACTTTGGCATTTTGTTTTGTCCTGTGTTTGGTTCTTTCTTTGGTTGTGAGCGTGTTCCATGCTCACCTCCTTTTTATTCTCTGCAACTGCAAAACAGAGAAGATAATGGTTGTGGCATCACCGGGAACTATCACACAAAGGGTAGAAACCAAAGACATACTCACATGGAATTTGTGGGGATTGTCCAAACCTTATAGAACCCAAACCCACCATTCACAGATCTCAAGGATCTCACAATTTCAGGCTTGAGCTTGGTTTTTTCTTTTTTTCTCAATAAAGTTTTGCTCTTTTTGCTCTTCTGAGTGCTCCCTCCTCTTGGTTGGATTCAAATTCTCCATTTCCAAGTTGGTTCTTCTGTGCTGGCCAAAAAAAGGAATTTTGGCATCTGGGTTCTGTTTGTTTTGGTGTTCATTTTATTGGGTCTAAGGGAAGTTGCTGTTTTGGGGAGGCTGGGAATCTGATTCCAAAGGGTTGCTTTTTCTGTTTGGATAAGGTGATATAGACTGGACCTTCTTTGTGGGAATGGAGAGTCAAGTTGTTAATTATGGTGGCTTTGAGCACTGGTCAGTGGTTGTGTGAGGGAGACACAGTTGAGGAACTAATTGTAGAGTATGGAACTTAGTAGTGTGGTTTTCTGGTTACTGGGGTTGTTTCTTCTGCTGTTGATGGAAATTTCTTCTGCTGCTCTTTCTCCTTCTGGCATAAACTATGAAGGTTAATGTCTTTCTCGGGATTTTTCTTTTTCATTATGTTCACTGGGATCTTTGGTAAAACTTGTGAAGAGAAAGGTTGTAGATTGATGATTTAAGGCACAAAAGTTGAGCATATTGGCCTATTTAATTATGTTCGGACCTTGTAGGCACGGTAGCTGGGTGGTTAAGGTTGATGCAATGATGCTATTTTGTGTCTTGTTTGTTTCCTTTTCTCTATCCTTGACAATTTAAGTGCTACCTAATTACCTATAACAAAATAGCAGCAGAGAGCTTAGTATTTTTCCTCTTCCTCATACCTAAGGGGCTGGGGTTGGGTCTATTTTATATTATCTTTTTGGTTAATCATTTTATTTTTGTGCTGGAAACATAGGAGAATTTTCAGATGAGAGTTCTTACACTCTTCTATTTGTTCCTTGAACAGTTGTAGCTCTGATGGCCATAAAGAATGACTTGATTGATCCTCACAATGTCTTGGAAAATTGGGATATTAATTCTGTTGATCCATGTAGCTGGAGGATGATTACCTGTTCCTCAGATGGCTATGTTTCTGCATTGTAAGTTTTCTAACTTCTAGAAATTGAACCAAACAGCTATTGCTAGTTTGATTTCTCTTAATGGAATTTTGTTTTCTTATCAGGGGGTTGCCTAGTCAGAACTTGTCTGGTACACTATCTCCTGGGATTGGAAACCTTACTAACTTACAATCTGTGTAAGTCTATGCTAATTTTTATCAAGATTCTTCATTCCTGGGTTTTGCTTTGGATGTTGGGTGGGTTTGACATCAGTGCCTCTTAATTGTTATTAGTCAACTTACAACTCTTTAGACTTCTCATAGAGTTATAAGCAGGTTGCTTAATTAATTAATAATTATGCACATGCAGGTTGCTTCAGAATAATGCCATTTCTGGTAGGGTTCCTGCTGCAATAGGAAGCTTGGAAAAGCTTCAGACACTTGATCTTTCCAATAATACATTTAATGGTGAGATACCAAGTTCTTTGGGAGGCCTCAAGAACCTGAATTATTTGTAAGTTACAAAAGCATTTGTACTGTTATGGAGATTGATTTTGATACTTGCTTCTGTGGTGACTTAAGATATTATGCTTCTATGTTTCTAAATTTTTCTTATGTGCATGCTAGGCGGTTAAATAATAACAGCCTTACAGGATCGTGCCCTCAGTCTCTTAGCAACATTGAAGGTCTAACCCTTGTGTAGGTCTTTGTTACCTTGTTGCACCATTCTTTTCTTTTCTATTTTTGCCTCATCATATTTCTGTTTTAACTTTAAACTCCAAGGGGAGATTTTAAGCTTTGATTTCTCTCTTAATGGCTATATTAACTGTTATGGATCGAACATATATAGGGACCTCTCCTACAACAATCTGAGTGGTTCCTTGCCAAGGATATCGGCAAGAACATTAAAGTAAGTACATTTTTGGATTTCCTTGTCTTTATTTCTACTTTACAACAAACTAGTGTAGTTTATCTCTTGCTCAATTATTTACTTCAGGTTTGGGGGTAACCCATTAATTTGTGGCCCAAAAGCAAACTGTTCTACTGTTTTACCAGAGCCACTTTCATTCCCTCCAGATGCTCTAAGAGGTGTTAATGACATCTTTCTTTGAAATATACTTTCAAACTATTTTTTCTTCTAACAAATGTATGACATGCTTGGATGTGGTGGTTTGGTTTTGTAGGCCAATCAGACTCTGGTAAAAAAAGCCATCATGTAGCACTTGCTTTTGGTGCAAGTTTTGGTGCTGCTTTTGTTATTGTGATTGTAGTTGGGTTTCTTGTTTGGTGGCGGTATAGACGCAACCAGCAGATATTCTTTGATGTCAATGGTTAGTCCTTGCTAAAGCTTCTGTCACTTTCCTTTTATAACTCTATTTCCTTGTATCTCTAATGCACTATTAGTAAACATAGTGGCAAAAATAATCGTAAAGAGTCTGATGGGGTGATGAGCACTGTTGGAGCACACAATCGTTTCGGGATATATTTTCAAGGAACTCGCATATTCAATGCTTGCTTGAATCCATGTTTGTCACTCTGTCAAACATAATTAACCTGCTCCTACCTAACACTACGCTATGTTGCTTCCAATGGACTTTTGTCTATTTCTGACCGTTCAACATGTTGCATTATTTCTTGATTGTTTTTATTATTTTCCAACTACCTTAAGCTTATTAAAGCAACTGTAAGACTTATCATGCATGTAATGAAGTGTAACTACAACAATGTTTTTCCTAATGGTGACTTTTTGCAACATGAGCAATAGAAGTTGTCATAATTCTGTTGTTGCTTGAAAATATTGTTGGAAATCCCAGTTGTGAAATATAATTTGGTGTCACACATAAATGCTTGATCAGCATTCTAGAGGGGGAAAATTGACAGTGAACAGCGATGGGTTGTATTTATTTTAATTGGGATATGGACCAATGTAGACATGTGTTTGAATACCCGGTTCACAACAAAATATGATGCTCCCCTTGAAAAATTTATCCAAATAAAAACAAATACAAAAAACCCATCAAACAGTGCTGCTTGTGGTACATGTAATTCATAACATAAGGATCACCTTAGTGGAGCAGTTCACATTGCATATAGTTTGCATTTTATAGTTAGAACACAAAATATAGTAAGTTTAATGATCTTGTACTGGCAGTGTAAAACCGTTGGTATATTTTTTTTTACTTATTATAAAGTCAACAACTTACTGTAAATGGTGGTTTGTGATCAAATGACTGTGTAAAATTATTTTACATTGTTGGTGTATCACTACTTTACTTAAATAGAATTATGAACCCACTCCTCCTATGTGCTCTGCAAGCATATGTTGTGTTCTAGTGCCAATATACCATGCGTTCTAGAATCCTTGTTTTGTTTCTCTTTCTCTGGCATTCGATTTACACTTGTATGTGTTTATTTGGCATCTCTTTACTTTATGCATTTTCAGTAAAATTTTGTTACTTGGCAGAGCATTACGATCCAGAGGTGCGCCTTGGTCATTTGAAAAGGTTTTCATTTAAAGAGCTTCGAGCTGCAACAGACCATTTCAACTCAAAGAACATTCTAGGAAGAGGTGGCTTCGGAATAGTTTACAAGGCAAGCTTGAATGATGGGTCTGTTGTGGCTGTTAAAAGGTTAAAGGACTATAATGCAGCTGGTGGTGAGATCCAATTTCAGACAGAAGTTGAGACAATAAGTTTGGCTGTTCACCGGAATCTTCTGAGGCTTTCGGGGTTTTGCAGCACTCAGCATGAAAGACTCCTTGTTTATCCATATATGCCTAATGGCAGTGTAGCCTCTAGATTAAAAGGTTAGCTCATTGAACTTTTCATTATAAGATGCTGGTTTAATCTTAAGTTGCACTGTTAATTACACACTATTGTTTATCTAGCCAGTTTACAAAGAACTGGTTGTACTGTATGATCCATCTTGTTTTACATCAACTGACAATTACCTGTTGTATGATCCCTTCAATTTTGAATTGTTTACTTAAGTCAACAAGCACTTTAGTCAGATACCAATGTATTGAGATCGTGTTAGGACTTCTTGGGATAAACTTCTTTAAAAGTACTTTTAAAAGAAAAAAATAGGAAGAAAAAATGAAATAAACTTCTTCATAAGCTAAAATTAACTTAAGCACAAACTAATTTATAGAAATTTTTTCTTATTAGTTTCTTTAAAATTTTATTTTTATTTATGAATAAGCTAGTTTTATCTCATGGAGGAAACTTATTTTGATTTCTCTTCCTAATTTTTTTCTTGTAAAAGTGATTTTGAAGAAGTTTATCCTAACATATCCTTAATTGACCTCATCATGAAGACACAGTTCGTATTGCCTGTCTCTTCTTAGTTACCACTTAGTACTTACTATCTCTCATTTTGTTGGCTTGCTAAGCAACCATTTTCTTTAGCTGCTCATGATCTAGGTTGATAATTATACTCTAAATCTTCAAGATCTTTTTAAACTATACCTTATTTGGCTTTGTTTTTGGATTTATATGCTAGACCATATTCATGGCCGGCCAGCATTAGATTGGACAAGGAGGAAGAGAATAGCTTTAGGCACAGCAAGAGGGTTGGTTTACTTGCATGAGCAATGTGACCCTAAAATTATTCACCGTGATGTCAAAGCAGCCAACATATTGCTAGATGAAGACTTTGAAGCTGTTGTTGGTGATTTTGGTTTAGCCAAGCTTTTGGATCATAGAGATTCCCATGTGACCACAGCTGTGCGTGGCACTGTTGGTCACATTGCTCCAGAGTACCTATCCACTGGCCAATCATCGGAAAAGACTGATGTGTTTGGGTTTGGCATCTTGCTGCTTGAACTGATCACAGGTCACAAGGCTCTAGATTTTGGGAGAGCAGCGAACCAGAAAGGTGTAATGCTTGATTGGGTACTCTCTCTAGACTTTCACTCTTTTCAACATCTCTTTTCTCCTTTAGTTATATATGAAGCTTTTACAACTTCTAGAAGTATATTCATTTCCACAACTTATGATCAATAGTTTGTTGGCACTCCAAACAACTTTCTTATATGCAAAACTTGTCTTCCTAGAAATTTTAATGGATAGAGTACTTGTGTAATTTTTTTTTTCTTAACAAGAGCCGGCATTTAAAAAAGGTTTTGTTAACATTAATCCTTAGGTCTGATTTTAATCAACTAAAAGGGAAAGGTTTTTATTGAGAAAGAAAGCATTTGTTACATCAGAAATAGGAATAATAAAATCCTTCCATTTTGAGCTGTTTAAAATCAGCCTTAGCTTAATTGGTAATCTTGAGTTCTGAGAATGTAATTGTATTAAAAAAGGATAGAAAGAGATTTGCTACCTTTAATGGTCTTGTTTGGCTTGAGCCTGAATAGGGTGAGTCAAACCTCAAAAAAGAAATATGAGTTTGTGTTAACCAAGTTATTTAAAAAATTGATGACTTAAGCTGCATGAAAGATAAATTTTCTTTCTCTTCAATCACCATTCTTTTTGTTCAATTGAATCAAACAACATTTCAGGTTAAGAAGCTCCACCAGGATGGAAGATTAAGTCAAATGGTGGATAAGGATCTAAAGGGCAACTTTGATATGATTGAATTAGAAGAAATGGTTCAGGTAGCACTCTTGTGTACACAATTCAACCCTTCACACCGCCCCAAGATGTCAGAAGTATTGAAGATGTTGGAAGGGGATGGCTTAGCTGAAAGATGGGAGGCCTCACAGAGGATTGAAACACCAAGGTTTCGGTCTTGTGAGCCTCAAAGATATTCAGATTTGATAGAGGAATCTTCACTCATAGTTGAAGCCATGGAGCTTTCTGGCCCTAGGTGACAAACATCTTGGTTTTCCACTATAGCTCCTTGTTTAAAAGGTGTAGTTTAAATGTTAAAAATGACATTGTCATTAGTGTCAATAGCTATGTAATGCACGTATTCATCTGTAAAAAGGAAAAGGAAAGTCACGTATAAGTATCTTTGTGGGAATGTTGATTTAGTTGCTTCGGAAAATTTTTGAATTGTATGTAGTTGCACTTAACATGTTCTTGCTGTTGGTCTAAGCAATCTCAGGGCCAGTTGAGTAAAAATCAAAAAAATCTTCTTTTTTTTTTTTTGGTCTTGATGGAATGAGTAAAATTGTCTTTATATCATATGCATCCTAAGTCTAATGTATTTCATTGGTAGGTTACCATAAGACTTGTGGCATGCTCGGGCTTTGGAATAACGTTAGTCACTATTGTGACTATTGTCAAGTGAACTAAGTCTTAATAAGTAGAGAATATAGTAAATATTGTTTTTTAAGAAACTTTTTTTCAATATTTATGATAATTTATATTCATCATTAATTAAGCAAAAGTAAAATTGGAGTGTAAAATGTATTAAAAGTATTAAAGGAATTTAATTGAACACGTGATATGCAAAAAAAATAATTAACAATAGATTAAAATATGCTGTGTTTAGATTGGAACTACAACATTTCAAGCATTTTTAGTGCTGTTTTTTTTATAATTAAATTAGAATTTTACTTAAACAATTTATATATGAAAGTCAATATTAGAGATTGATATGTTTTACTAACGTAAAACTCTAATTTTTATTGAATAATAATAATAAAAGCACTTAGAATATACCTAAATTTTGTTTTCATTATAATTTATATAATTATTATTTTAATTTTTTATTCAAATTTTATTTTAAAATAAATATAAATTTAGGAAAAAATAACTTTTCATCATCTAATTAATTTAAGTTTCACTTATTTATTTATTTAATATTTTAACTTAATTTTTCACTTCATTTTTTTTCACAATCACCTTTATTATTTCATTATTAATCTAGTTTCAAAATATTTTAATCTTAATTAAGATTTGTAATTCTTTCTTATTTTTCATCTTTTCATATATATTATCATCATAGTTTTTCTTCTTTCTAATAAGGTTTTAAATTGTGGTCGCATTACTATTATAATTTTATCGTGATTATGATCCTAATTTAATTGTAATCATTGGCATTATGAAAAATCATAGACTAACACAACCACACTTTTAGTCGCATTAGAATCGCTTAAAGTTTGAAAACTTGATATTTTAGTAAAACATTCGAACATAATTTATTTTTTAAAATCCTACTTCTTACTATATTATCACTATAATTTTAAGACCACCATCTTTTCCATTATTATTACTTTTTTTTTTTTATTGAATGCTATTTTAGTCAAGTTTTATTTAACCATTAACTCATTTTGAATCATCATAAAACATTAAAAATGTGAAGCTCTACAATGATAACTTTGTTGAACCACCAACCTCCATGTACAATGATCTCAGTGCTAAACCAACCTCCACACTCAACTAGAATCCTAATCCACATTCCGCCACTAAACGATCATAATCAATGAATCACACAAGCACAATAAACTCGTGCCTCCACACACTCTACAAACATGCCCCAGTCATGTATGTCCAAATTTCAAACACTATAATTGCAAAGGAAAATAAATTAATGATGGTTTATAGATGAGGTTGGGTTGAGATGGAAAAGAAAGGAACGGCGAAAATTAAAAAAATAGAATAAAAAAAATACTTACGATTTGTGACTTAATTAATGGATTAAAAACTATATATCTCTATTAACTCGAGTCTTGAAAGACAAAAGTAGCAATGAGGAAGAGTTTTTTTTTTCTTCAAACGATTGAAATGAATTAATAAGTCATTAATTTGATTGATACGGTTATTTTAAATTAGATTTTGTATTTAAATTTGGTGAATGGAAAAAACATGATTAAGAAGGAAGACCTTACCAAAGATGATCAATCAGATTTTTTAATAGAAATTAGTCTGTTGGAATATAAATCAAGTCTTATATGGTTAGAACAAGAAGAAAAATAAATGTTTATAAAAACACACACACACGCGCGGTGACTGTAAAATAGGCACCGTATTTTTTAATTGCTACAAGTATTCTTTAGCCTATTATATTTGTATATGGGTTAGAGTACCCCTTGTACTCCTTTTTAATAAATCTCTTTTATTTAGAAAAAAAAAAAAGTGGAGACAGTGTCCCATTTATTTTTTGAATGTCCTTTTACTTATTGCATATGGATGTTGTGTTTAAATTGGTTTGGTATAAAGTTTGTGCTCCATAATTCTTGCCACTTTTACTTAGCACAGTTTGTGGGTTTACCAATTTGCTCTAGTATGGATCGGTTAAGATGGTCAACTGTGTGGATGACTATTTTATGGTCTCTTTGGATTGCTAGGAATGAAGCTATTTTCTCTGATAAGGTCATATTACATTCTAACTTATTGGAGATAATTCAAATTCGTTTTTGGAAGTGGCTTAAGGCTAAGGACCTTTCTTTTCAGTACTCCTATTCATCTTGGGTTGGTTCCCCCGCCATCTGTTTAAATTTTTTGGACATATACTCAATTTCTGAGCATCTGAGTACGTAGGGTGAGATTTTTTAGCTGATTATGCCTAAGCTACTAGTAATATTATACTTGTGGGAGATCACATACTGTCATCATCAAGGGTATTTCAAACAATGTCCTTGTGTAAAATCTGTGATAAATTACTTAATAATTGCTTATTAGATATCGTATATTCTGTTACTGTGACTGTAAAATAGGCACCGTATTTTTTAATTGCTACAAGTATTCTTTAGCCTATTATATTTGTATATGGGTTAGAGTACCCCTTGTACTCCTTTTTAATAAATCTCTTTTATTTAGAAAAAAAAAAAAGTATATTATAAATATAGTCTCAATTTATATGGTTGATGTTTTTAAGATTAATTTCTGTGATATTAAATTAATTGATCAAAATAATATTGTTAATACAGATTAATCTTTATCTATTAAGTTTGAGACACTGAATATATCATGTTTATAAAAAAAAACAAAAAAAAAAGTGCAAGTGTATTAAATACTATTAATGAAAAAAGTCTGACTGTGATAGGGTAGGGGAAGATTCTAGAGGCCAGGGTACACAAGGATCCAAGTGACGAGTCATCAAATTCAAATTATTCTCTTTTGTTTTTAATATTTTTATCCCCTGCGCTTTTCACGTGATCATGTCAAATATATCATTTTCAACATTAACGTCTATAATAAAAATTTCTTTTGCTTGTATATTAAAATTTCTTTAACGTCTATATTAAAAATTTTAAATGTAAAATTAATTATGAATATTTTAATAATTTAAAATTATTTATTTATAGATTATTACAATTTTAATTATTATTTTTAATTAATATTTATAATTATACTTTTTTAAAATGCCATTTTCATATTAATTCATAAATACCACACATTTGTTTATATTAATTATTATATTATAGGGACTTTTTAATAAATCTCTTTTATTTAGAAAAAAAAAAAAGTATATTATAAATATAGTCTCAATTTATATGGTTGATGTTTTTAAGATTAATTTCTGTGATATTAAATTAATATATATATATCATTAGTTGAGAAAACTTTTGGTTGACTAAAAACGTGAGAGTTTAATCCTAAATAAACAATATTTTCTCCTTTTGATAAATATATATTCTCAGACATTTTCAAAAAATACCCCATAATTTTGATAATAGAGTCACAACCTATACATACAAACAATAATAAAAATGTAAAGGTTAGATCTTTTGTTTAAAGAATTAGAATAAGAAGAGAAATAAAGTTTTATAAAACATATACATACTCTCCTTAAAGACAAATACCATAACATAACTCTAACATAATTATCACTAAAGTTGATGATATTTCGTACCAATAACATAATTATACAAAATGAATTAAAAAATTTGCTAGGTATTTATTTTAAGAAAAATAATTTAAAACTTTTAATTTAAATTAATATAATTTTTAATATAAATTTATTAAATATTTTATTTATAATAAATATTTTAAAAAAATTATTCATAAAATTATAATAAATATTTATAATTTATTAAGTAAATAAAAAATAAAAATTAGTGGACCTCGACCGAGTAAATAAAAAATTATATACACCAATAGAATTAATCTATGGTTGGGAAAATGGGATTGGAGTAGTAAAATTTTGTGCATTTTTATAATTTTTTTATCTTTAAAAAAATATTATATGAGTCTACATTTTATTCGGGCCATTATGGCGTCTCTCAGTTTGGGCCTCACATGAAGCAAGTTTTTATGAATTTATTTGTCATCTTAATTACATATGAAACTTTCTTTGACGAGAAGGTACGTACCCGTTTAAATAAAACATGTGAATATTATTTTGGGTTATTTTTAAGTTTGTTTTTTTCAAATATTTTTTGACAAATTTTGAAATGAAACTTAGCGCGGTTTGGCTATCGTTTATAATTGATTCCTCCATTTGAAATACTAGTTTAATGTAAAATTTATGATTCTGTAGAAAAAAAAAATGTACCAAAAAATTGTAAAACTTATGATTAAAATTAATTTAGTCAAATATTACGATTACATTCAATAGTATTACAGTAAAAAATTTAAAAATTTACGATTACATTCTATCAAATATTTGTATTTTTTATTGATTAAATTGTATTTATTCATTGTCAAGTCATTACATTTTTTTTATGAATAGAAATTATAACGACAATAATAAAATTTAAATAGAAAATCATGTCTACACTATTTTCAGTCTTCATTGTTAGGTGTCGTTATTAATTATTTTAAAATATTAATTAATCTAATTGAATATTAATTTTTACGTCTCTTAGTGATCATAATTTAAAGTTTTCAAAATATATAATATAAATGTATTATTTTTTATCTAATTATTCTTTTAAAATAGTCTACCATCTTACTTTTTTATTGTAGTAGTTGAATAATTTATGGAAGAATAAATTAAAAAAAATAATTAATATTACATGAAGAGTGAACATTTTTCAAATATTAAAATTGTAATTATTGTGAGTTGAAGTGAGTAGATGAAATTAAGATGAAAAGAGAGATATTATTGTAAATGAGAAAATCTTAATAGAGTTAACCAATACTTAAAACATAAGA